GGACTTTGTCTCAAGAGGTTTCGTCCCTTACACAATCGTCTGATCCCCTTTAATTGTTAGCGAGTTAACCCGCGCGAAACACAGTCCATTTTAGGCAACAGCCAAAACAATGCAACAGTGTCGTATTGACTAACAGTGTCTAAGGATATAAAAGAAACGTGTCCTGATGAAGAATGAAAATAAAGCATTCAAAATGCTACTTTCCGTCCATCATCAGCAGAAACTACTGTGTATATGTTGTGGAATTGCTATGAGACAATGGAGCAAGAATGATGTTTGCATAGTTATTGGACTGTCAAGTCCCAGCCTCTGCACGATATGAAGGAAAACTATTGTGGCTAACTGTCATTACCATCATTTTGTGGTCTCATATGTTATTTCGTTTCATCTGTCAGATATATTAGAGTTCAACACTTATTTAATCAACTCCTTCGTAGATTTCATTTGAATGAAAAGTGAGTGAGAAAGTCATGATATGGTGATTTGTAATTATAATGTTCTTCTCTTCCTACTTTTTGTTGAATAAGGAGCAATTCTTTATATATTGAATTGAACCAACAGTTAGCATAGCAGAACCTAATATGATGAACTGAGAAAAAACTGGGTTATGCAACACTAGCTTTCTAAGAGTGGTTGTTTGTTGTAGGTTGGAGTGCAAATCAAGGTTGTCTCAGCTCTATGTGCAGGTTCTGTGGCAGCTGAAGCAAAGAGGAATGCAGCTAACTGGGTCATATTGGACAAGTAAATAACGTAAATATGTTATTTCTTTCCTCTGATATATTGCAGCTCAAGAAAAAAAGTTCCATGAAGATTGATATAATCAACAGTTTTTACTAGTATTAACTTTTTCCTCGAATTTGGATAGAGAAACGTTTTGTGTATACATTTGATTATCACTTTAATTGTCAAGATGATTAAATCTTCATAGATAGATCGTGTGGTCAGTTGTAAATATTTTCCTTGGGAAGCAACATTTTCACATCTATGTTGAATCTTTGATATATCTGCCAGAAAACTAATAGATTGACTAAGATGCAGCATTACAGTACTACTTTCTTCTTACTGTTGTTTCCGTGAGACAGGAAATTGAAGCAAGAACTCAAGAATTGCATGGATGAGCTGTGGTGCAACACCGTAATCATGAAGGGTTCCAGGCCAAAAATACTTCGACTCAATCTGTCATGCTCAAATTATCTTGAAACACCATTTTATTCGGCTGCTTCTTCTCCTCTTTTAACTAGCGAAAAGTCACAGAGCCAGAGGATGAAGCATTCTACTCCTGTTAGCAGTCCAGAGGATCCAAGTACTTCTTGCACAAGAACCTTAGGCACCAATTCATCAAGTCCAGACACAGCGGCTTCTATTTTTGTGGTTTATGAACAAAATCCTCTTTATGAAGGTTTGAATAAAGGCAAATCCCCACCTGATGGACAAAATAGGTTGGTTCTAAGGGAAAGTATAAAAACTTTTTCGACAATCCCAGGTTCACGAACCCAAAGAGAGAAAAGAAACTTTTGGATTCCTCGAAATCACGTTGTCTCTGGGAATTCCCTGGAAAGTCGAAACTGCAAGGATATATCCAATACTGCATATCCCACCGCCAGGACTGAACTGGATAACTTTGTACTATTTAATCGAGATATAATTAGAGGAACTAACCTTAATCAAAACCTTGACAGAGATTATGAATTCAACTATAGTATTCGGGAGGCTGTGGCTTTTGGAAGAACTTCCTCAACGCCTCCTCCTTTGTGCTCACTATGTCAATATAAGGCTCCGGCATTTGGAAAACCTCCAAGACAATTTCATTATAGAGAGCTAGAGGAAGCTACAGATGGTTTTTCCGACAAAAAATTTCTTGCTGAAGGTGGGTTTGGTGTGGTTCACAGAGGGGTTTTAAGGAATGGGTTGATCATTGCAGTAAAGCGATTAAAGTTAGCTGGGTCTCAAGGAGAAGATGATTTCTGCACACAAGTGCGAGTACTGAGCTGTGCCCAGCACAGAAATGTTGTGTTGCTTATTGGTTTTTGCATTGAAGGGAAGAAGAGATTACTGGTGTATGAGTACATATGCAATGGATCCTTGGACTTTCATTTACACGGTATATGTTACCCTTCACGTTCAGCTACTGATTATGGCTTTTCGAAATAATTTGGATTTTGGTCGTGTGTATGCTTTTGCAGGAGAGAAAAGAATGTCTCTGGATTGGCAGACAAGTTTAAAGATAGCTATTGGGACTGCAAGAGGCTTACGATACCTTCATGAAGATTGCAGAGTGGGATGTATAATTCACCGAGATATGCGTCCGAACAACATCCTCTTAACACATGATTTCGAACCTCTGGTATAATTCATTGATGTTCTATAAGCATATATTTCTCACGTTGAATATGTTAGAAATGTAGTGTTTAAATTCTTTTACGTTCTACAAAATTACTAACTAGTTTCAATCTGACTAAAGAAAATATTTCCGCAAAAGCTATCTGCCAATAGCAATAGACTGAAAGCAGCTTCTTGGAATTAAAGTTGATACGTTAAGAAACCTTTCTTAGATTTCTCCCTGCGAAATTTACTTCTTTAGTCTATCTATGTTGTCCATTCAATTTAGGTTGCTGATTTTGGACTTGCAGCGCTGCACTGTGAGTGGGACTTTTGCGATGGTGACCAAATAGTTAAAACTTCAGGGTAAGCATCAAACTTGAAATTTTTATGAGACACTGCATGGCTACTTATATTTTCAGTTTATAGTTACTCCACTGAGTTCAACCCACAAAGACAGTCGCAATTCTGGTTATTTGTGGAACTTTTAGATGAGTTGTCTTTGTTTCTACTTATCCAGGTATCTTGCACCAGAATACTTCAATGGTGGAAATATGACAGAGAAAGTTGATGTCTATGCTTTTGGTCTGGTATTATTAGAGCTAATCACTGGTGAAAGAGCTGGCGACTTGCTATATTTTATCGACCGTCAACTTTTGGTCAATAATTTCCATCCATCATCTGACATTGAACCAATTCAACCAATGCATATGTTGGCTTACAAGCATCAATTGCTGGACTCCTGTTTGGCCTCTTACCAAATACAAAGCTTGCCCCATGAGATTCAGGCAATGGGTTATGCTGCCTCGTTGTGTCTACAGCAGAATCCCGAGTTGAGGCCTCCCATGTCGAAGGTTTTATACTCATCTCAGAATACTTTTCTTTTCATCTTAGGTGCTGTATCAATTTCATTTTTCTCCTATGAAACACAGGTACTGAGAATACTAGAAGGAGGAAGTGCTGTTATTCCTCTGGCTTTGGACTTGAATTCAGTTGGTAGTAGGAGTGGTCACATGGAGGGACTGAATTCAAGAAGACAACTTGAATCCAAGATGAGGCACTCCCGCAGGTTGTCTTATTGAACATATTATTGAGTCCTTGTATTCCTTCTTCCTTGGACGAGTTGCTTATGTCCTGTTTGTCAAGGACGTGGATTTAAGATTCTAGATTTTGTCTATCATATCGTAACGACGATCAAAAAAATTGGGATCTATGTTGACTGATCCTAGTGGAACAATGTTGATTTTTGTAAATCAGTCTGATTTGCAGCTTCCAGAAGTCTTGAGAATGTACTTCAGTTTGCACATCAGGAGAGGCAGTCTATATTGGACATAATTGATCCAAACCAAACCAGAGCAATGTGCAGTTTCATTGTTTCTCGGTTAGATGTACGAGTCCGATCTAAGTATAATAATTATGAAAAGTATTGTCAAAAGTGTTATGTAAAAGTAAGAATAGGTAATAGAAAAATAATAACACACAGATTTACGTAAAAACATTAAATGGAAAAAAAAAATTATGACAAGAGGGGAAATTGATGAATATATAAGAGATGAGCGTTTTAACGACAATATTGAATAAAACGTTGGAACTGTACATGTGTTTGCGTGAATAATAAAATAGAGACCTCCAAAAGTTCTCATAATTTTGATTTCAACACATATGTTGCACATGACCTTTTTTATTGGATCAAACAGAATTCAGGTCATCGTATTCTGACAAAAACTATATAAAAAAAAAAAATTAAATTACAAACATGTAATCTCAAGAAATTAGAGGGGGGTCAAGCAACTTGAGCCAAAATTCCCAAGGGACATTTTCAATAATAATAAAAAGAATAAATTCAAGGGTAATTTATGATTATATTTAAATTATAGTTTTTTATTTTTTTGCACTCACCACCTTTTAATTGCACTTAACGTCTTCATTCCTTTTTATTATAGAACTTGTGTTTCAATTTTTATTTTTTTATTTTTTTAATTTTTTGTCACATTCTTATCTTCAATCTTCTATTAATTAAAACATTTTATATTTGATAGCATTTTCCATCCAAAAATTCTGTTGAGGAGTAAAATAACTTATTCGCAAATCATAATTTTAATATAATCCTATATAATGTAATAAACTACTATTTTCTTCATTTCAAAGTACACAAATGAATATTTTGACATACATATGTTAATGAAATGTT